AGATGGAGGGTGGCCCTTAACTGAGTCAGCAAGTCTCTACCCATCAAAGGGATAGGGGATTCAGGTATAACTAGAAACTGGTGGGAGAATATAAACTCTTTGAAAGAATGGTTAAGTAGGAGCATAAATCTTTTAAACTGAGCTTACCTGTGTTCCTGTCACTGTGCAGGTTTGAGAGGAAACAAGACCAGAGTGGTGAGTTAGAACAGAATAAGACTCCTGTGTCAATTAAGAATCTGACATTTTTACCCTTTACTGGAGAGATGGTCAGATACCCATGAGGAGCAGTCGGGAGTCTTGGGTCCCATCAGTCACTTGCCCTCTCAGCCATCATTGGCTCAGGAGTCTCAGGCCCTCTTTGGGCTTGGGGGCAGTCCCGTTTCCACTGGCCTTCCCTCCTGCATATGGGGCCAGCCTTCCAGTGGCCAGCCCTACTGCTTCTGTAGAATGTACTTTAAATTGGTTAGGGCTTGACCTCCCAGGGCCTCTTCCATAATTGGAGTCCTGAGATGGGTGACCCCAAGGGGGCAGGTAACTTAAGTCTACCACTAACATTTATGCCTTCTGCCTCCCTCTTTGGGCTTTTACTACCTCCTCAGTCAGTTCTCTATTATTATATACTCCAAAGGCTGTATCCAGTAATTGACTCATTGGGGTTTGGGGCCCTGTGGTGGCTTTTTGGAGTTTCCTCCAGGTTTTAAGAGCTGATTGAGTGATAAAATGCAGACCTAGGAGGGCTTTCCCTTTGGGGGAATTAGGGTTAGTATTAGTGTGCTTCCTAATTGCCTTCAGTAGGCAACCTTGAATCATGCTGGGTTTTCATCTCTCCCTTAGGTGACTTCACGCATCCAGTTTCATGATTTACCTGTTTGACCATACATTTCCTCATGCCCTCTAATTATGCATGTTATCCTATGATTTCTGTGTTCCAAATCAGCAGATCCCTGTTGATAGTCCCATTGTGGATCTGCCTCTGGGATGGCATTTTCCCCTGCCCGGAAAATGGCATGGCCTTCACATTGGGCAGCTAAGCTATCTTCATGTTCTTGGGTCGCTCCTGTTATCCTTTGTTTTCCCTCAAATCCACAACAGGTGGATAAGAGGACTTGTAAGTTCTGCCACGTCAAATCATAAGTCATGGTTAATTTTATCAACTCCTCAGTAAACCTCCGTGGGTCCTCTGAGAAACATCCAAACTTTTCCTTGCCAAGTGCCAAATCAGACATAGAGAAAGGCACATATACTCTGATGGTTCCCCCATTTCTGTTAGCCACCTCACACAGAGGGCAAAGATTACCCTTAGGGGGCTGGTAAGAAGCTCTGCTCCTAGTAGTGCTAGTGGGGCTCACTTCCTCACGTATTAGAGAATACACAACAGGGATAGTGGGGTAAGGCAAAGTGTCTGTGGCGCTTGAGGGAGAACTTGGAGGAGGTGAGCTAAAGACCCCGTCAGAGATTGAGCCTGAACTGCCTGGAGATGTTGGCAGTGCCGACGGTTGGGAAATAGGTGTAGCCAGCGCCAGCTGAGGCACTGGGGCTGAGGCTGTCCTGGGACAGTTCCCAATAATGGGTCATCTAAAATGTCTGGGCTCAATTTTGAGGGTGCAGTTAGATCATGAGCCAAACAGATTTTATGCTCTTTTAACCTACTGTCTCAATAGTTTCATAAAAGCCTGTACATGAAGCACTTCATCCCATTTCCCCTCTCCCTGGCAAAATAAGATTAACTGTAAAATATTATCAAAATTTAAAGTTCCATTTTTAGGCCCAACATCTTGGTCACCCAGCATATACTGGGGCCAAGCCTTATTACAGTAATAAATTAACCTCTTTTTCTTTAAACTTTCAAACTTAAACTTTTTTCAGTTAACTAGAATGTATCATAGTGGGGAATCCACTGGGATGTGGGAGAAGGAGTTTCCCATACCTGATTACGATGCTGAAAGGGGACGGGTGCAGAGTAAGTCTTCATGTCCCATGGTCCAGGATCAGGCAGAGAAGGAGGACCCTAGTGGCTCAAGGCAGAGCACTGAGCACATGGCTGCATTGCGAAAATCCTAGCTACTAGGGGCACTCTCCTGACTGACTTGTCACTTATGATACTTGGAGGAGAGGGTCTGGGGAGGCCTGAGACCCAGCCTAAACCCATCCTATTCTCTTACCAGGTTCTTGACTCCGCCACAGGAAAGAATTCAAGAGCAGAGTCACGGTAGACAATAAGAACAGGTTTAATGTAACAAATAAGAGATACAGATTTCACACAGAGAGTGCGGCCTAGCTCCAGAGACTGAGCAGGGCCTTCACTAAGTTTAACACAAAAGTAAGAAATACACACTTAAAGTTTAGTACAGAGTGCAGGCTGGCTCAAGAGAGTGGGCAGCTGCTTGCTAAGCATAAGCTTAACACAAAATAAAGCATACACACCTCAGCTGGCAAAGTGCGGATTGGTCCCAGGAAAATGAGCAACAATTAGATTATTCTAATCTATATCCCTATATGTTTTTTGTTTTCTTGATCTGTACAGTTCTAAGGGAGGAGTTCTAACTTACCAGAATGATTGTAGTTTTGTCAGGCTTTTACTTCTAACAACTGCTTTTTATATTTGGATGCTATATTGATTGATGCTGAAATGCTATTAACCACATTACCTTCTCTGTATGTAGTTCCCTACATTAATTAAAATAATAGTTCTTTCGTCTTGAGGCATTTTGCTATGAATTCTAATTTGCTTGGTATTATTACTATTACTCCTGCGTTTATTTTGTTTATATCTGCTTGGTAAATCTTTGACCATCCTTTTCTTTTTAGTGTGTTTGGCTCATATTTTAGTTGTGTCTCCTATAAATGTAAAAATTTGTTCTTTTGGGTTGGAGGGGGAGGTACTTTATCTTATAGTTAAAGAAGTTCGGGCCAGCCCGGTGGCGCACTGGATAGTGCGCCGCTTGGGAAGCGCGGTGGCGCTCCCGTCCGAGGGTTCGGATCCCACATACAGACCGGCTCCCGCTCACTGGCTGAGCGAGGCGCGGGAGCAACACCGAGGCTTGCGATCCCGTTGCCGGTCCCCGGTCCGGTACGGGGGCAACACTGAGGGTTGCGATCCGTTGCCGGACACGGAAAAAAGACAAAAGACAAAAAAAAAAAAAAAAAAAAAAAAAAAAAAAGAAGTTGACCATTTAAGTATTTATTAATTGTTGTGGTTTATTATGTAAATTATTTGCTCATTTTTTTTTTTTGCTAATTTATTTCATAGATTCTAAATGCTTTGTATGATAATGAGTAATCCTTTGTCTATCTTTTGTTTTATTTTCAATATGCAGATGGTTAGCATTTTTATGAGGTCAAACCTGTGTCCTATTGTGAGTTCACATGCTACATTTATTCTTTAAACGGTTTTTGTCATGTGAAGCTCTACTAAATATTTATCTGGTAATTATAAATATTCACCTAACTGTTAATTAACTGCTATATTCTTAATACCTAGAATACTGCCTAGAACACTTAATGGATACTTAGAAAATATTTTTGCATTATTGAATTAATCTAAAATTTCCAATTTTTTATCTTTTGAAAATATACAAAAACATTTATTTAATGTTTTTATATTTCTTTTGATGTATGATGTGAAAAGAGAATTTTTCCCCCCAAATCTAGTCAGTTTTCCCTTTACAACTTACTGAATAACCTTTTTCCTCCTCTTCATTTGTGATGCTTCCTTGTTGCAAAGTACAGTGGAAGGAGCAGACTTTGAAGGAAGGTAGACTTGGATTCAAGGCTTAGCTTTGTCATTCACTGGGCATGTAAGCTTAGGCAATTACTTGATCTCTTTTTAGTTTCTCTTCTCCTAGGGGGATAATAAATGCCTGCTCAACAGGGCTGTTATAGAATTAAAAATAATATGTAAAGTTCTTAGCATAATGTGTGTCACAAAATAAATAATCAGAAAAGAGTTTTTATATATATATATAACACACACACATATACACATTTATATGTATATATGTATGCAGTATTTCTGGGTTATTTGTCCTAGTCTTTTGATTTTTCTGTATCATATTGCTTTATTATAATATATTTATAATATATTATATTACATTTTCTGTGTTATATTGTTAGCATTCTTAAAAAGTATTTTAATATATTTAAAATAGGTAGTACAGATCTTCCAACATTACTGATAACTTTTACTCCATCTTTTCAAAGCTTTATTTTTAGAAAAGCGATTATTGCTTCATATTCTTCTAGGTGAATTTTAGAATAGTTGGTCATAAGAAAAGTTTTTGTTATGATTTTGGTTAAAATTTCATTGAACCTATGCTTTAATTTGGAAAAATTGTTGTCTTTACACTAGTCACCCATTCAGTCCCATGACTGTCAATTTATTGAAATTTCTTCTCACTTTCTTTTTTATCTCATTAGATTTGTTGGTTTTTTCTTATAGGTCTGATATTTCTTATTGAGGTTATTCCTGGAGTATTATATTTTTAATCTCTATTTTAAATGGAATCTCTCCATTTTAAGGTGCTATGGGAAGTATACATGAAAACAATCAATTTTTATATAATATCTTGTACATAGTCACTTCATGTAGTTATCCTATTCTAATTATTTTTGAGTTGATTATTTTGGGTTCTCTAACCAACCAACTCATGCATAAATAATGATGATTTTTATCCTCTTATTCAGTATGAGGATATAATTCTTCCTATCTTGTATGCGTGTATGTTTTACATTAGATAGAAGTTTATAGAACTATGTTGTTATAGTGATAATTGTGGCTATTACTGATTTGTATCTGATATTCATCTAATTGTCTCTATTATATCACCCTTAAGGATGTTGGCTATTGGCTTAAAACAGGTATTCTTTTTCAAGTTAAGAATGTATTCTATTCTTGTCTCATTTTAATCTGTAACTATAGAATATGTGGTTCTGATACTTTATTTTCTATATTTTGGGTTTACTTGGATTATTTTATTTTATTTCATTTTTTTGTCTTACAGGATGTTCAGCTAAAAGTAAAAACCTACTTGCTTGGAACTGATTTATCTATATTCAAATATGATGATTTTATCTTTGTTTTGGATATAATCAGCAGGTAGTGTTTGAGTTCTTATCTTTAGTTTCATTCATTCAACCAATGTAAAGAAATCATGAATTAGTAAAAAAAAAAAAAAAAAAATAGCTTCTTCATTGATATGAAGACAATCATACATTCATAGTCCAATTGCTGCTGAATTTTTGTGTGTGTGTTTAAATATTTCTGCCCTTTGGATGTTTGTAAGCCATAAAGTGTATGTGATCTTTAGAATTTTTTCAGATATCCAAATTTTTATGTTTTGTTATCTTTGAAAAAAAGAGAACCTGGACTTTTTTTCTGTATAAGAATGTTGCTGTATCTTACATAAACCTTTCTGTCCAACTAGGTTGATGCAAGTTGGAGAAGAATTTTGTGGTAGCAAGTCTGAAGTTTTGCAAGAATCTATTAGAAAACAAAGTGTCAATTATTTCAAGAACTACCATAGGTAAGAACTGTAATAAAATATGAAGACCTCTTTAGGTAATGAGAATACTTTTATCTGTTGCTTAATCTCATAACATTAATTTAAAACAATTACTTTTGAATTTGAATGAATATGTTCTTTGTAGCTTTTTTTAGGATGGTTAAGGATTTTTTATCAAAAATATAAAATGTTCTCATTACTTATTCATTGTAAATCTTAATATATTCTTTCTCTTTAGGGGCTCAAAATATTGAAGTAAGTATTGAACTGATTTCTTTATGGGTAAAAGGTGATTATTACATAAGGGTTCACTGAAAGAATTTGGCCACTGTTTGATGCCTGCATTTATAGGTTGTGAGCTAGTAAGGAAGTTAAATCAGTGGAGGCAGCACTCAGTGAAGAAGTGCTTGAGAGCATGTGCCTGTTAAGAGTAAGAAGCCTTCAAGAGGAGAGGACGTGTTGTTACTCAGAACCTAGCTATAAAGCCAAGATTGTATACGACATTGCTTTGCGAGACAATCACTGCTAACTTTAAAAAGGCAGAAGGTGGGAAAGAATGTTCATATAGCAGTGTGTATGCTTAAAGCAACATGAAATTGAGAGGAGAGCTAACATTTATTAGACCTTTCTTCACATAAGCTAGACTGTGAGCTGTATCCTTTACATACATTTTGTCGTTTGAATTGAGTTATATCTTTTTATTCTGAATGTCTATTTGATTCTCCTTTGTTTGTTTTTATTAGTTATTTGAAATTCTCTTTTCATTTTGTATGTCTTTTTCTCTATTTTACTTAGAGTAATTATCTTAAAGTCTTTTGTCTGTTAACTCCAGTATTTGCAGCAATTCCTGCTTTTCATAGATTCATCTATTTATTGCCTCTTTATTTTAGAACCTGTGGGGGAAAACAAATCTAGATTTTGTTTTTAGCATGGTAGTAACATCTTAGCTGTGGTAGGAAGGAGAAGAATAGGACAGGCATAGAAAGTAAGGATTTGTTTTTCTGGGACTGCCTATATAATGTGCTGATTCCTCAGGATAGATAGAGCAATAGCATTGAAGAAAGAAGAGATCAGCATGACATAAGTGATTAGTGGAATGTTGGGTATATAAAGTCAGCCTGTTGCCTCAGGTTGCACATCTACGGACTCAACCAATAGTGGATTGAAGATATTTGGGAAAAAAACACAATAAAAAATTACAGTACAACAGTAAAAATAGTATAAATAAAAAGTAACTATTTACATAGCATATACACTGTATTAAGTATTATAAGTAATCTAAAGATGATTTAAAGTATATGTTAGGATGTGTACAGGTTATTTGCAAATATTGTGCCATTTTATACAAGGGACTTGAGCATCCATGGATTGTGGTGTCCCCAGGGTTCTGGAACCAATCGCCCAAGGGATGACTGTGGTACCTTCCTGCTAAATTTAATTTGTACATGCGGTGTAGCGATAGACACTGAGCTAAATATCTTCAGAGAGTGATAATAATCTTGATTTGTGGTTTAGTAAGTATGGTTACGTTCTATGCTGCCTAACATAAAGCATTTATTTGTATTTATGGTTGCATATAATCTGTAAATTATTCCTCTGTGTTTTGGCATTGATATATGATTAGCTAAGGCTATTTTAAGTACATGAGTAGGGACAAACTTTTAGTTTAGTTCCTTAGTAAAGATGTCATCTCTTTATACACATTTATTATTTTTGCAATATAGTTAAAATATTAAGAGTTTCGTAAATATTTGAGAGTGTTTTTTTCCTGAGAATGATAAGGTATTGACAAGTAAAAGTAAATATTCGTGTTTACTGTGTTCATCTGAGTGGGTTTTCAAAGTTTATTATGATCATGATGGTAAACCTGTAATTGTTTGTATTGTACTTCATTTCCTCAATTCTGTGTGCAGTTTACTTTTCTTACGTTTTGGAGTATTCATTTTCTTTAAAGAACACGGCTTGATGAACTGAGAATGTTCTTAGAGAATGAGACCTGGGAACTTTGTCCTGTCAAGTCAAATTTTAGCATCTTGCAACTTCATGTAAGTGTTTCTTAAGACAAAGAAATCTGCCTTTTAGTTATCTTTTTATTTTTTTTCAAAAACGCAGATATGTGAAAGAATTTATAAAATAATTAAATTAAGGAGTAGTGCCTTATCTTCTTCCCTTGAAAGTCATTAATAGCAAGCCTCTTTTATAAGAATGATCCTTTTAGGGATGTGAAAATCTGTGTCTTTACAAAATTCAGTTTACACACTTCAGGAAAACTTTTCCCTAAAAGTCTGTTTTTTTTTTTTTTTTTAATTATTTTTTTATTTTGTCAATATACAATGTAGTTGATTATTATGTCCCATCACCGAAACCTCCCTCCCTCCTCCCTCTCCCCCCACCCACCCAGGCATGTCCTTTCCATTTGCTTGTTGTAGGAACTTCAAAAAAAAAAAAAAAAAATTGTATTTGTTATATCTTCCAAAAGTCTGTTATAATGATGTTTTTTCTTTTGAATTCAGAAGAAGGTCTACTTTTCTATTTAAATTTTGCAGAAAATTTATCAGTTATATTTGGGTATTGTTTAATAAAATTGCTTATTTATATTTGTAGAATATTTGTCATTTCTACTAATAGAACTAATAGGTCTTAATTTATACTGCATAAACTTGACTGAAATGAGATAATGCCTCTGAAATAAAAGAGGCACTTTTTTTTTTTCCTTTTTGTCTTTATTTGTGACCGGCAACGGATCGCAACCCTCAGTGTCACGCCCATACCGGGCTGGGGCCGGCAACGGGATCACAACCCTCGGTGTTGCGTCCGCACCTCGCTCAGCCAGTGAGTGGGAACCGGTCTGTATGTGGGATCCGAACCCTCGGCAGGAGCGCCGCTGCGCTCCCAAGCGGCGCACTGTAGCAGTGCGCCACCGGGCCGGCCCAAAAGAGGCACTTATAAAAAATATTCTTAACTAATCTTTATTAGTTAATTGATTCGTTGATTCCTTATAGAATCAGCAATCTGTGAAAAGAGTCTTTAATTGGTTTGATATTTCCCTTGGTTGAAGCACATTGTAGATAAATATTCTTGTGTAAAAGTTTGTGTCCTACAAATACCAAATGTCAAAATGCAAAGCATATACTTAGATCCTGGTTTAGAAAGTACAGCATGTTTAGTTTTTGCCTTTGGAAGGAATGGCTTTCTCGAGCAATTTTCTTATTCTGGATAAATTTAAGGAATACATCTGTAGAAATTTTTTGATAGGGATATTGTGTAATAGCTTATCTTTTATCTTTATGCCTATATTATGTACTAGGTTACCTCTTATCCAGTTCTATTATATTGATTTCTTAATATGGAAATATTAAAAACACTGAAAAATGTTGATTACTAAATGCTTTAAAGATAGTAAACTGACATTAATTTTAATTAGTGCTAATAAAATAACATAATTAACATTAAATTAACATAGAATTTAAGAACTTTAAAAGAATTAAGGTAATTCCTTAATGTTATATAGAATTATAAGTTTAACATAAATTATAGAATATCTATTTAAATAGTTTTATTTGAATTTTTATTTAACCATCAAATTAAGTGTGTTTTTGTACGTATACTTGGTGTACAGACTTAAGAGGCACATTGAAATGCTCCCATCCAGGTGAACATTATCTCCTTTAAAGTAGGTACATTGAAAACTATTCACAACTTAGTGTTCACTTCGTATTCCTGTGGATTTGGTTATCTCTTAATTTATATTTACCCCTTGCTCATGATTCTTAGGCATTATGATGGATCTGATTTAACATGTAGTTGAAATTTAAAAAGAAAATAAACACATCATTTAAAACTTAACAAGCCAATGTGCCTTTTAAGAATTTAAGAACACTTTTTAAGAATGCCATTGAATATGAAAAAATTGAAATTTGGGTTTAACCTTTTTATATATGAGAAAAATGTTTATTAAATTTTTGTGATATATCATCAAATTGAGAGTTTTGTAATTCAAAGGAACTTTAGAGATGATTTCAGCTTTTCCTCTAATTAGCTGTGTGGTGTTGAACTTGGCACTAAATGGCTCCAGACTGCCTCAGTTGCTTCATCTGGATAATGCATGATTTGGGCCAGGGGTTACAACTCTTTAGCATTTGTGATTCTTTCAATCTAGATTGATCCTCTTATTTTACAGATAAGGAAATTGAGGCTTTAGAGAAGCCAGCTGACATTCTCAACATTATAAGGGAAATTAATGGAATATAGTGGGTTAATAGCAAGCTACAAGTAGAAGCCACATAATCTGGCCTTAGCATGTGTGTTTGTGTTGCCTGCTTCTTGGTATATAAAGAAAAATAAAAGAAAGTTCATAGACATTAATATAAAGATATATTAATATATCTTATTACATAAAGATATATATACTTCATGCTTTATTTTTTATTTGTATAGAATATATATATATATATATTTTGTCTTTTTCCATGTCCGGCAACGGATCGCAACCCTCAGTGTTGCCCCCGTACCGGACCGGGGACCGACAACGGGATTGCAACCCTTGGTGTTGCTCTCGCCCCTCGCTCAGCCAGTGAGCGGGAACCGGTCTGCATGTGGGATCCGAACCCTCGGGCGGGAGCACCGCCGCGCTTCCCAAGCGGCGCACCCATCCAGTGCGCCACCGGGCCGGCCCTTGTATAGAATATTTTAATGGTACAAGCAAATGAGTAAGCAAGACGTTTGACTTGACAACAATTAGTTTCTATAAATGACTTTATTAATTAAAACTGTATCCTAGGACTTTTGCTGCTATGTTAAAATTTTTGGAAGATATCATTCAAATTTCTTAAGTTATTTTCAAAATTTTTCTGTTCACTTTTTTAAAGTAAGACAAAAGTAGCTTGATGCAGATGACACTGGTTTAAGTGATATCATTGACTGAGTTGTTTTTAGGAAAACTTTCCAACATGTATTTCCAAGTTTGTACCTTCAGACAATTTGCAAGATTGAAAAGTGAATAACCTGAAGATCGGGATTTTTTTTTCTATTAACTCTGTATTTACATTGATGGAATATGTTTACATAGTTGAATCTCATTATTGTTGCTAAAAGGTATCTGACTCCTTTTTTAATATCTAGGAATTTAAATTCATGGAACAGTCTCGTTCCCCATCAGTTTCACCAAGTAAGCAGCCAGTCTCAACTTCTTCAAAAACAGTGACCTTGTTTGAGCAGTACTGTAGTGGTGGGAATCCATTTGAAATTCAGGCCAACCACAAAGATGAAGAAACAGAAGATGTCTTGGCTTCTAATGGGGTATGTGGTGTTTTTAAAACATATAGTAAAACGTAAGTGAGATTTCTTTATTTAAAAGCGTTATACCCAATGAGCAAGGTAATTTGGTAGATTTATTTATCCATCTACCACCCACCTTCCTACCTTTATACTTATGTACCTATGATATTACTTGTGTAGATAATGACGTCACAATATGCCTTATTGACATTGCCCTGTTGAACAATAAATTTTGCCTTCATCTTTGCTTTATGTTCTTATTAAATTACTTTATATTCTTATCAGGTAACTAATTGATAACTATTAGATAATTATTAGATAACTAATAGTATAGTTTCTTCACTGAATATTTATATGATTTAATGTACTGACAGATGGGTGAGGGAATAGATTATCTGACATTTTTCTCTACTCCATTCCTGGGGAACTAGGAGTCATTTTATTCCATTTCCCTTTATCTGAGAGAGTAATGTGTTCTTAATTGCCTGGAAGGGATGTTTTTGGGATTTAGAAGTATGATGTTTTAGCAACACTTTGAACAGCTCAAAACAATATTAACTAGAGGTAGTGTGAATTAGTGGGAAGGGTTTGAAAGCAGGTAATTGATATCACCTTTATTATTCATTAGTTTGTGGCCCTTGGCAAATTATTTTAACATTGTGATCCTCAGTTTCCCCATATTTACAATGAGGGGAATGCTTACTTCACAGAGACATATTGGGTGTTTTCACAATATTTTATTAGCCTACCATGTTGTTTGATGGAGTCTTCTGATCTTCAGAATTTCCAGAGGGACTCAGTATAATTTTTATTTTAGATTGGATGGAGCTGAAGTAAAAACTGTTCAGATCTGTTTGTTGATTTGTCTTTGAATTTTAGTTTTGAAATTTCTTTTTTGTTTAGTGAAGATATATTTTTTTAAAATAGTGCCATGAAAATATACCATTGTAATGTTTTAGCATGGTTTACATCATTTCATAGTAAACCATATTAAAAATTATAATTCAGTGATTCCTTGTGACATTTTGCCTCTATGAAGTAGACTAAACTGAGAGGAATTAAGTCATTCCAATTATTTTGAAATGATCTATCCTTCTATAATAGTGATTTCTTCATTAAAACTCACATAGAATGTGATTCTCATTATTTGCAGCACTTGTGTTCTATAAAATTTCTGTGAACACTGAATTAGCAAATACTGAACCATTGATCCTAGGGGAAATAGAGGATTAGGTTCCTGCGAGCACCTACTCACAACATTTTCATCAACCCCTCAGTATATAACCTTATATCATGTGTGTTTCTGTTTAAAGACACCTTATTTATTATGCATTGTTGATTGATTAATATTGAACTCCTGGCCAGCAGCACTATAATTTTGCATAGATGAAGCTTATCTAACATATGTATTTTTTCCATAAGGCACATCACAGCCTTCTGTACTTAGGAACACTAGACAGTATTTTAGCACTACACGTGGGGACCATTCAGCATTTTAGCACTACTTGTAAGGAAGAGCAAAATCATCAACAAAAAGCACAAGAATACTAAATACAGGGCACTAAGTAGACCATGAAAAGAACACTTATTTATAGTTTGAGGGCTGAAACAAAGGCAGAACATCACCTTCATTGCCCTCAGCTGGAAACGTGTGTATTGGAGAACTCAGTTTTTGCTGCTGTGCACGTGTCCATGAATGGCTACAAAAATACAGTCACACATCACTTAACAACAGGCATATGTTCTGAGAAATGCATCATTAGGCGATTTAATTGTTGTGTAAAAGTGTATTATGAAAGGGAACAGCAGTTCATTTTCCTATTATTTACACTGGCCACTAGTTGCGTAAGTGTGGGCCCTTTTAATTATGTTACTGAGTCTTTCTGTGCATCACTTTCATCTATTAAATAGGGATTAGAATAATACCATAATCCCCATTTAATCATTTAAAAATGTAAGAATTCTAAAGCAGACAACAATCCTTTCACTTGGGGTCAGACCTAATGTGTCAAATGCTTGCCTTTCTGTCTTAAAGTTCTGAGCTTCCTTAGGGAGGGTGACCTGGTAGGAGCTAGGCACTCCTCCTCAACATATTTACACCAGCATCACCACAAACATGTGAATAATTGTGGTTCTATGATGTTATGACATCACTAGGTGATAGGAATTTTTCAGCTCCATTATAATCTTATGGGACCACCTTTGTATATGCATTCTGTTGTTGACCTAACTGTCATTATGCGGCACATGACTGTATCTTACGTATTGATTTTAGGGTTACAAGCAAATTTTAGAGAGTAAGCAAATTTGAAAATATTGAATACTCAAATAATAATGAGGATCTCACAGTATCTACTGTAGTGTAGAATCCCAAAATTCTATTGTTATAACCAGGAAGCTGTTGTTTGTATAGAATAACTTTCTGTATGTCATCAGGATCACATTGTGTGTAGGTATAGGAGATGCCTATAATGCTTGTTTAAAGTTATTAACGTGTGATCTAATCTTTCCAGGTGCAACGTAAGTCCTTGAGAATCAGGGTCCATATCTAAATATGGCCTATCATAATGTATTTCCTTAATAGACTCTCAAAAAATAGTTGTTGAATTAGGAGACTAATTTCTTTCCATGTTGTCCTTATACTGGTTTTCTCCACTATCGCGTGGGGATTAAACTTTCTCATAGAATTGTTTTTAGTATTCAGTGAGATAATTCATGAAAGCACCTGGCACAGTACTTAGATAATGAGCCATTATCTAATCATATTAATCTGTAACATTAATTGATGGTGATGATGCTGCCCCTGCTTCCTTTGCTGTACATGGATTCACCTGTCCTTTCCCATGCTGTCATTGGGCCATGGTGCCGTAAAGTTGATGAAAATGTTAGGAAGGCACCCTTCCTCTCAAGAGTAAATCCATATTTTTGTTCTTGCTCTCAGTAGGTCCCTGGATGTTAAACCTAATTTTCTCAGCTGCCCTTGGAATTAAGTCTCATCATGAAGAATTAGATAGAACATCAGCATGTGTGTTATGTGTATTTATTAAGCTGAATTAAAACTTCCAGATTGCTAGAATTGGATATTTAACCTCTTTAAAATGAATTAGCAAATTAGAAATGAGTATGATGAAACCTCTGGGAGACTTTTTTTGTACAAATATTAAATGTACACTCTTTTCTTCTTTTTAGGTCTAGTGAGGTATTTGTTTTTGTTTTTTGTATATGGGGATTTGATTTTATTGGACATTTACAAGCTTTAATATGTACAATATTTTTATTTCCCTTTACTTTTGAGCTGTGTAACATAGGATGATGAAGAAGAAAATAGAAGGATAATATTCTTGGTGGCAAAATTAAAGCTAAATTATTAAGAATGTTTGTATATTTAGTTATTTCTTATAAAATTGGGTACTTTTATTGTGTTGAAAGATATCAAGAAAGCTGGCTCTTTTTACCCATAGTTGAATGTTCTGTGTTCTTGTTCTTTTTAGTATGAATCTGATGAACAAGAAAAGAGTGCCTATCAGGAGTATGACAGTGACAGTGATGTTCCTGAGGAACTCAAGCGAGATTATGTGGATGAGCAGACAGGCGATGCTCCTATGAAAAGGTAACTGTTCTTAGATTGTATGGTATTTAGCATTTTATGTTGTACTCTTAACATATAGTATTTTCTTTGAAGGCTAAGTAAAAACAAAAATTAAATATTTTGGTGGTTATAACATCACATGACAGAAGTTAATATGTTTTAAAAGATAATTTCCAGAAGGCTAAATATGTAAATTTTTCCTTACATTATGTAACAGTGAATTTTCAGGATAAATAACATTGTTGTATGAAAATTTCTATTTAGCAAAGCATTTACTGGCATTTCACAAATCAGTTCATTTACCTATGAGTTTGATTTGTTATTGTGTCAAGAAAAACATTGGTTTAGGGGCCGGCCCGGTGGCGCACTGGATAGTGCGCCGCTTGGGAAGTGCGGCGGCGCTCCCGCCCGAGGGTTCGGATCCCACATACAGACCGGTTCCCGCTCACTGGCTGAGCGAGGCGCGGGAGCAACACCGAGGGTTGCAATCCCGTTGCCGGTCCCCGGTCTGGTACGGGGGCAACACTGAGGGTTGCGATCCGTTGCCGGACACGGAAAAAGACAAAAAAAAAAAAAAAAAAAAAAAAAAACATTGGTTTAACATTTTAAAATTTTTAAATGGCTTAAAAGAGCAGTTTTAAAGTAGTGTTTCTTTTGATTTATACAGTTTGTCTGACATTGTTTTTTGCAGTAAGATTCTGATTCTTTTTTTAAAAAATGGTGTCACAAAGCTAAATAGTCATGTTTTCAGATCTTTTTAAAAATAATTTATTACCTTGATGAAAATATTGGGGGTAACCAAAGAATTTTTGATTTAGAGAACAAAAGTTTTTGCAGAAGCAAGAAACTTTAGATTTACAAAATCAATGTGCTGCATTTGGGGGCAATACATGCTTCACATAGATCAGAAAACCTTGAGGGGGAAAGTGGTCATTTGTTTTGGATGTGGAGTTCTTGCTTCAATCTAGTAAGTATAGAAAGTCTCCACTTATTTTTCCAATGTCATTTGTGTTCACTTTTGAACCTTCTATTAAGGTTTTCTATTAGTGGTTATTGTCCTCTTAAAAAGTATGACAATTATATTGGAATGTTTTGTCACCTTCTCCCAGTTAAATGGGCCTGATTCTGATGTGTTGACGTGAATTAATTTCATGACTATCAGACGTTTAGTGACCACAGGTACACTTTCTTTTTAATGATAGATTTGAGTATACTCTTCACTACCCTTTAGCCTCAGGGTACCTAGCTAGTTAATACTCGATTAACTTGAAACCCTGACTGAAATAATTCTTTGCTCAAAAGTGAACAAATTATGTAGTTGCATATATTTTAATTGGTAAAATTTGTTTCTATTGGTTTTTACATATGTATGACGTCTAAATATCTACAGGTGTGATCTACTGTGAACTGAATAGAACTATTTTGTTGGATTTCTTCATTAGATATGTTTTGGGTATATTTTAGCCAGAAGGACAGCTGTATTTGAATTGAAATAAACAAGTGAAGATAGTGTCTGCCAGTACATGTGTATATACCTCCATTTTTGTTAGGGTTAATGCAGCTTCCTAAACCATCTAAATTACCCCTAAGAAGTTTGAATCATGTGAATTACTAGCTGAAGCCAGTTAATAGTTTCTGTCAATTCCAACTTGTGTGTCTTGAATTTATCAATTTTTCTTGTACTTCACCACTAGCATCCTAGTTTGTGCCAAAATTATCTCTGTGGCAAATTATTAAAACAGCCCCTTACCTTGGCTTCTTGTCTCCATTCATGCCTTCTTCAGATCCATTCTTAGATACAAATTTAGATTGTTTTCTTAGATACGAATTTAATCATGCCATTTTTCTAGTTAAAGATTTTTGTGGCTCACCACTGCATTCAAGATAAGATTGGTACTCCTTGGGTTTGATTGCTTTTGGTGTTCTGGCCTTTACTTACCTCCTTTCTTGTCACTTTTCCTCTGCCTACTTCTTCCATATGCTAGCATAGGGAACTCCTTGTGCTTCTCTGAGCACACTGTGTTCTCTCTTAGCTTTACCCTGTTACATGCTCTTTCTATTTTTTTGCACTTACCATATAATTTCTCCTTCTCTTTTGAATCTAGAGCTGCACCCAGCCCCACCTCTGCCATCATACCAGATACTTAATTCAGATTCTAAGGAGGGTATTTTTTCATGTTTAAGGAGGGTATCTTTTTCATGTTTATATATAAATATCAAGAAATTTGGTTCATTTGCACTTAGATATGTAATTTTAAAAAATTGTTTTTAAAGTGATGTATCTTTTTAAAATGGTTAATAATGTCATAGAATCAAAGAAATACATTATAGTACTCTTTCTTTGCTTACTTATTTCTCTTTCCCTCTGGACTGTAAATTTTGTAAGGACAAGAAGTTAATCTTTGTATCCCCGCCTGACACATAGTAAGATTTTCAGTAAATAATTAGTAAATAAAGGCTAGATCCTAACCTGAATGACTTACTGCTTTCTTAGTCAACAACTCTAATTGCAACTCTGTTTTGTCTTTCCATATTAAGTGTTTCTCGAGAAACCCTAAAAAGCAGGAAGAAATCAGATTACAGTCTAAATAAAGTGAATGCACCCATTTTAACAAATACAACGTTGAATGTAATAAGGCTTGTTGGTAAGTAGCTATACCTTTTAAAATAATTATAGCAGTTGAGCTACTTTATTTCTGTTCTTAATGGTTTTTGCTTAGAATTTTTATTGGATGGTATACACCAGAGCCCCCTCCAGAGTGAGGGATTTAAGATTATCCTATGTCAGTGCTTCTCATTTTAAATGTTACGAATAGCATAATACTAGTATTAATGCCAGCTTCTCTTTTTCAGTTAACTACTTATTGTTTTCATCTCATTTTTCTAAAATATTCCAATTAATTGAAATGTAATGAAAAATTCTCTAGGTGAGTTAGAGGTACATGTGGGATGATGATAGTAACAGTTTCGCATTTACACAATATTTTTCTACTTAATTGTTTCATGGATCTTCACAGTCTTCCTGTCAGATAGGCAGAATGAATAGTGATTTTCTGGCTTTTTCAGAAACAAGGGTTTTATAAGCTAGATGTTCACATCATAGAAAGTGTTGTTCTTATTACAGATAAGACCTTTATTGATTTTGTAGAAGGCAAACAACAGAAGGAATACTATTTTAAATATTCATGTTTGAGAATCATATGGATTTTTTAATGTCAGTATTTCAGTATCTTACAATGTTCTCAGCCTTTATATCCCACGAATAGGTCTGCACATTTGACAAATAAGTTATAGAGATATCTTCTCACATTAGTTGTCATCTATACCAATTAAGACTTTTAGTGGTTGTCTGTAAAAATCTGTATATTCTATTTATGGAGATGATATTCATCTGTTGCCTAGTTTGACTAATCTTAGCCCTGATGAAATGGTCTTTGTTCTTTAAGATAATCTCTACATTTCATTAACGAATAGGATAAAATGTACAAAATGTTTTTTAGTAGTCTTACCTTCTTTAGAACAAATATGTAAAAGTAATAACGAATTGAGAGGAAAAGAAAATTTTCTTGATGCACGGAAAAATGACAGATTCTAAAAAGCTATTCTGTGGCTAATTATTGCCAGGGAAATTAGCTTTTCTTCTGTATCCAGGGGAGCTAATTGAACATAGTGTCATGAGTTACTCTCTAGAATTTATAGAATTAGAATCAGAAGGGTGATGAGAGGTCACTGGAAGCACATTATTTTGTGAGACTACTCATTCTACCGTAGACTGATCTCATGCTAGAAATCTCTTCCCTATAATCAACCGAAATTTCTCTCTCACTCTCTCTCTCTCTCTCTAATTCTGTTGGTCTTAGTTCTGCCCTTAAAAGCAAAAAGAGTGAGTCTGCTTTTTTCTCCTGTTCTTCCATGTGGTCATGTTTCCGATGTGTGGTGGTAGATATCCTGTCCTTCCTTTCTTCCTGCCCTATAACCCCCAATCCATTTTTCAGGCTCAGTGTGCTTCAGTTCCCTTGTCTGGTCCTTACTGATAGAAATTCAGAATTCTCGTCATCCTCCTTAGTCTTCTAGACTCAGAAGTTTTCCATGTCTGAACACACTACTGGAGATGCAGTTTGATATACTCAGCGTTTGCTAGGTTATGTTGAAGTAAAAAACAACCCTGACGTATCAGTGGTTTTCAATCACAAAGGTTTATTTTTCGCCCATGATGCGCATTGGCTCCTGGTCATCTGTAGCTGTGCTCCACCTGTCTCTTCATTCCAAGATGCAGGCTGAAAGAATAGCACTGATCTGGAACATGGGGAAGGGAGCAAGAACCGAACCATGTTATGATTCTTAATGCCTCTCCTCTGATGTGGCACCCTTGACTTCCTCTGACATGTCACTGGCCAAAGCAAGTCAGGGAGAAGTAGGCTTCTGCCCAAGGAAGCACTGCAAGTCAAGGGAAGCAGACAGGGATGTATAATGCTCTTTCAGGAAATGGGGGTAGTGGATAATTGGGAAAGGATAATTGGGAAAAATAATACAAGCAATGTAAGTAGTTGTTTATATTTTTTACCTAAGTAGTTGTTTATATTTTTTACCTTACCCAGTTCAAAAGGGACTAGAGGTAGTCATGTTACTTTTTACTCTAAAAGGCATATATTCATTAAAATAAAATCAAATAAAATGTAAGGCTAAACCAAAATTGAGGAGGGGGAGATATCATGTTTCATTCAGTTAAATGCCGACATCAAGTGCCTTCTTGGTAGGCATAAGGAAATTGAAGAAACAATGTATTCTGCTATTCTCATTATCTATGAAAAGAATACTTGCCCTTAATAATGGTAGAAATATGCTCTTAGTGCTAATTTCAGAAGATTACTGATTGACATAGTGGACATTATTTTTTAACAATGGATTTATAGAAACTGAGAAAAGATGCTTTCTTCTTACGGTCCTTTGGCTTATCAGCCCTATAAAACAGGGCACAGTCCTGAATAAAACCTTACTTAGTCAAGAGATTATGATCATTGTAATTTCAACCTTCTCCCTATATCTTTTACTAGAGTTGCAGTTAGGAAACAATGTCGAGTATGACAATTTATCTTTCATGTCTTCTCATTTAGGGCCAGCATAAGGTGCTGCTAATATTCCTGACGTCTCCCCAGTAGACTTTTATGCCTATCACTTTCTCTCTCCCTGAAATGTCTTTTTCTTCAGTTTCTACACTCCTCTCTCTGTCTCCCACTGATGAGGTGGCTGAGGCAGGCTCCCTGTTCACTGTCCTGTTTCTAGTTCTATTCATAAAATAGAACTTTAAGGGAACCAGTTACTCAGGGGTCCCCAAGTAGTAAATGCACTATTCTTTCCCCTGTTGTTATTGCACATAGTACTTGAAAATTATAAGCTGGGGGCCAGCTAGGAAGCTCAGCTGGTTAGAGCGCAGCCTTGTAACAGCAATGTCAGGGTTCAGATCTCCATGCCAACCAGCAGCCAAATAAATAAATAAATAAATAAATAAATAGGGAAATAATACATACATACATACATACAAACATACAAACACGCACACTGGCAAAGGTAATGCCTCTTCTTACAAAGAGAAGTACACTTGTATAAATAAATACATACATACATACATACAAACATACAAACACGCACACTGGCAAAGGTAATGCCTCTTCTTACAAAGAGAAGTACACTTGTATAAATAAATACATACATACATACATACATACAAACACACACACTGGCAAAGGTAATGCCTCTTCTTACAAAGAGAAGTACAATTGTATAAATACATACATACATACATACATACATACAAACACACACACTGGCAAAGGTAATGCCTCTTCTTACAAAGAGAAGTACAATTGTATAAATACATACATACATACATACATACAAACACACACACTGGCAAAGGTAATGCCTCTTCTTACAAAGAGAGAAGTACACTTGTATAAACAAGATATATTAATTTTGGTGCCTGGGAAGTTGAAGGAACTAGTTGTTGAGTTCTTGGGAAAAATATTTTTGAACATGAAAGGCTTATTCAAAATGTCATTTTCAAGGCGTATTTACTTGGCAGATAATTAGGAGAGATTAAACAAAAGAGTGTTAATGGGGCTCCTAGCCCCAGGTGGGTACCTAAATCTTTTAGAAAGGCTCAGGGAGACTTTCCACTAGTGCCAAGAACTAATCAGAACACTTGCTCATTTAAAAGGAAAATCCTGTTAGCTTGACGATCTTTTCCAGAGTCTGAGAAATTTTAGGGAATGTATCTCATCACCAAAAAAGCCTTGGTGTTCAAGGTTCTTCCTGGAAGCAGCTCTCATTTGAGCAGATATGGCAGGTCTTAGGGGAAGGAGATGAGATAGGTTGCCCCCATTCTTGTAACAACTACAGACCCTACAGCACAAAATTATTACTTTAGTAGCTGGAAAAAAAATACACATTGGCACATGCATCAGGATTTAAAATGAAACTAGAATATGTACATCTGAGGGATATTTAGGCATAGTGTGGCTGGGCTGCAGCTTGTGTGGGGGAGAGAACACAGAAATGGGAGGGAAGAGATCCACTCCTTATCCTTCATTGGCACATTCTTCTTGGTGGGGCATTAATATTATTTTATCATTGAGTATTTTAAATTGAAAGATAATGCATGAAAATGGTTAAAAGTTAAAATACCCCAAGGTATAAACAAAGCCCCAAGTCTCCTTTCTCAGAGAAAACTACGGTTTCTCCTGTTTTCTTTTGGAAATATTAGTATGCTTTTACAAATATATTTAAATATATCTATCTCTTCACCCCTGGTTTTTGTTTTTGTTTGTTTCAAAAATTGGATCCCACTGTATATACTGTTCTTCATCTGGCTTTTTTCACTTCAAGTATCTTAAGGTTATACTTAAAATACCTTAAGATATTACATATCTTAGTATGTATAGATCTTATACTTTTTCATGGTCCTGTTGTATAGATGTACCACTATTTTACAAGTTCTCTGTTTTTGAACTTTTAAGTTGTTTCAAGTCATTTGATACTACAAACAATGCCACAGCACATATTCTTGAAGAAATATCTTTGTTTATATACAAATACAGCTGAAGGATAAATTCCTATAGATACTTCCTCTGGCTGGAGCAAAGAGTACGTATTTTCAGGTTTGGTGGGTGTCCCAATTTACCAATGAAGGTTACTAAAGAGGTCTGTAAGTTTACCCATTCACCAACTATGTCAGAGTATCTCTTTTCCCAGTTTCTCAGCAACATTGCATCATCCAATTTTGGATGCTTCCACCTTCATAGAACACATAAGAATATAAACACAAGATAGCTGGGTCAGAACCTAGGGAGTAGCAGGGGATGTGGATACATTGGAGGGGCAGACAGCAAGAGAAGCCTGTAAAGGAGGTCATGCGTGAATAGTAGAGAGGCAGGAAAAAAATTAGGAGGTAAAGAGGTCATCTTGAAAACCAAGGGATGAGGGCCTGTCAAGAAGGAAGAAGGGCTATGCTTTATCAGTCCTTTATGATGATCTATGCCATTGGTCATCCAGGGACCAAACTTTGAGAACCATTAGTTCCTTTCTATATTTTTCTAATTAAAATGTAAAACAATGTGTGTTTAAATACAGGGAAATTCTTGATTGTATAACAGGTAATACAAATGGTAGTTTCTTTTGTTTTTTTACGAATGCAAGTAATCGTGTCAATTGTTTTCAAAATATTTTTATTTCAGGTATTAGGATCAGGTTATTGAGTTCTATGAAATTATAAGTGCAATCTTACAGAAGTATCACAATACAATTTTTGTTCATTTAAAAATTTTAAAACCTTGTTTTATGATTAAAAGTCTTTTAAGTGACTTAATGTTTTCATATGTAATGTTTCAGGAAAAAAATAATCATTCTCTTTAATTTAGATTACACATTGCAATATTTCTGTTTATAACATATTAATAATGATATTGTCATATAACTATATTAATAAAATTATATACTGTATAATATTGTAATTTATTATATTATTTATATAGAGGGTACTTCAAAAAATGTTCATGGAAAAATTTGTATTATATTTTAGTTCTGTTTTTCCATGAATTTTTTGAAGTACCTTCATATTTTACTGTTTATAAGAATTTATGTTTTTAAACAGTTTTAAAATATTTTTTGAGTTGCTAGCTGTGTATAGGACATTATGTTTTGAGAGGACAATCCAAGAAGCACCATTCCTCAGTACATGTCATAAGAAAATGAAATTGGAGATTTTGGGGGCTAAGATAATATTCAAATTACAGAATAAAAATGGATAGCCAGGCACTTAGGTTAATTTTTACTCCAGTTTTCACTTCATTATTCAATACTTTTTCTAAATTGCCCAAGCTGAATTATTCATTCCTTTCCTTTATGCCTCATTTATAGCATTAACAGTTTGCCTTTATATATGCTCTTATGCCTTATAATGCTATTTATATCTATTGATGATTTCTCAAATTAGTGCACTGTAGTGAGAATAATGAACATCGTTCCAACTTAGATTCTATTCTTGCTCTTGCCCCATCAGACTGTAAGCTCCTACAGACAAGAAGAGCATCTGAGCCATTTTGCGGCATCTTTATGTAGCACTGAGCCAAATGCTTTTCACTTTGCAGGTGTCTAATATATGTTGAACTGACAAACCTTAATTTTTAAAATTCTTAATATTGGAGAAACTCTTTATCCTCTCTTGTCACAGTCCACAATGGGAGAAATTTCCCCTCACTCTCCCAGCATTTCTCTTTACCCCATTTATTTATTCTCTCCTCTACACTGGAGGTGTGGCTGTCTCATTGAATTCCCCTAGGCCACCATTCATGTGGTAACCACACTCCTCTCTCTGTCTCCCACTGATGAGGTGGCTGAGGCAGGCTCCCTGTTCACTGTCCTGTTTCTAGTTCTTGTCAGTGCTGCATGTTTGGTTTTTCTGCCAGCCCCTCTGTGTTTCTTTTCCCCATGGTCTAGATTTGGGATGAGAGAATTTAAACAGTGCTTCCCCTGTGAAGCCTTTTCTCATTTCCAGATTAGGTTAGGTTCTCTTTATGTAACATCCCATACTTCTCTCTGTTGCATTAATCATAATTATAATTACAGTTGCACCTCAGTATCCCCAGGGGATTGGTTCCAAGATCCCCACAGATGCCAAAATCCTCTGGTACTCATGTCCCTGATGTGAAATGATGGCAGTATTTGCATATAACTTAGGAACATCCTCCCATATACTTTAAAACATCTCTAGATTGCCTGTGATGCCTAATACAATGTAAGTGCTATGTAAATAGTTGTTATACTCTATTATTTTTTTATTGGTATTATTTTTTAATGTTGTATAGTTATTTTTTATTTTTTGTTTATTTTCCATCTCAGATTGCTTGGATTTGTGGACGTAGAACCTGCAGATTTGGAGGGCCAACTGTACTTTTCCCTATTGCATATATTATAATTATCTTAATAGCAATATCTAAGATTTCATTACTTAAGTAGTAGTCAAGTACTGGTAGGTAGGCTACTTAACTGGTTAGGGGTATACCTAACCAGACATTTTTCAGTGCATTTATTGAAAAAAAAATGTGGGTATAAGTGGACCCCTGCAGTTCAAACCCATGTTGTTCAAGGGTTTGCTGTAATATAGCTTGGAAGCAGGAATAGAAACCTCTTGCAGTTGATAATTTGGGAAGAGATGCCTTTTCTGGTTACCTGGGTCCTATTAGAAACCTTCCTCAGAGTCCCCAAAGCATGCTGTGTGTGCTTCTCACTGCAGTATACTGGAGGTCTGCTTATTAGTTGTTGACTTCCGTGTATGACCTTTTAATGTGCGAGAGCTGGGACTCTTGTGTAATTCCTTGTGGTTGAATACAAGGCCAAGTACACAGTAAGCCTTCAAAAAGTGTTTGATGAATGAATGTATATCATTATGTTTAAATTTCTTTTCTCAGAGTGTTGAGGAACACCTAGTTTTTTTTCTTCTGAATACCCATTTAAAATAGCCTTTGCCTATTAGTAATCCATTGTTACATCCTTTCTCAAGTATAAGTACAATGGTTAATCTTATTAGGATTGGAGAAGAGCTTTGTATTCTAGATATAAATCAGCCTGGTTATTTGCATCCTAACTTTTCCACTTATCTCTGTTTTACTTTTACTGATTAAAGTAATGCAATATAATATTTTTTCATTTTTTTATCCCAGTGTCATAGTACTTTATGTGTTAACTAATTGCAGCTTAAGTAATCTTATGTTTGTAGAAGAAAAATCTGCATTATGATCCAGAATGTTCTAGGAGCATATCTTTCAAATATTTTTCAAATGTGATTTTTAAAAAAAAATGTCTGAATGTGTGGAAATAAATGTGAAAGATGATTCTGAAGCAAAAGACTAAATGGGAAGTAAGAATAGAATCAGAGTTGAATGCTTTTTATTTTTTCTTGATATATAATTGTGTTTGTTTCTCTTTCTGACCATCCGACTATTATTTAGAATCATCTCTCACATAAATTAAGACAGATGTACTGAGTTTTAGATGAAGAAATAGTTTTGATTGTAGACATTTTCATTACAGTAAATTTATCATTTCTCCTACTTCAGTTAATGTGTTTTCTCTTGAGCTGTGATGTCTTCAGTAGTACCAATTTAAAATTTATAACAGTTAACTTGAAGTGGAGCCAATTCCTGAATTATTTGCTCATTTGGAAATTAAGCAAATGGGCTTTCTTAACATCTTCAACAGAAGATGATGTAGAGCATTTTAAATAGATATTCTTCTTTCCCTATTATTTCTCATAAAAAAGAAACAGAATTAGGTACTTGTAGTTGTTACGTGATATTTGATTCAGCCCGTCTGTCATGTGCCCTTCAAATACATTATATTAGCAAGTTTGTGAATTTTGGTTTTTAAAATTTTTTCTATGACTCTCTCTGTTCATATGTTGAGAGGAAAGAGAATGGAATATCGGCATCTCCCAAAGGAAGGAATGAGGAGGATATGTTTTTGGCACTTTGAGAGTATTGAGCTTTTGAGTGATGTAGTGATAAAGAAATGTTCTTGGCCTCTGACACAAGATTTCACAGGGCTAGGATTCGGGGAAGGGACAGTATCTACCATGTGTCCTTTTCCTCTTGCTTTCTTACTTTTGCTAGTGCGTTATAAGCTTATGAAAAAACGCTTTTTCTCAGGTATGTTGTATTTTACTTTATTACACTTAAACATTTTTGGAGAGATTATTTTAAATGAAATCTCCTAGAAACCATTAACTATGTTTCATGTTAGTACAGTGTCACTTGTAGAAGAGTGTAGTACTTTCATAAAAATATGACAAACACTAAAATATCATAATAGGATAACATCATAGTAGGTACTATTTATATCAGGGTTGCCCAATAGAACTTTCCGAGATGGTGGAGCTGTCTGTAATCTGTGCTATTCAATACAGTAGCCACTATCCATGTGTGATTACTGAGTTCTTGAAACATGGTTAATGTGACTGAAGATTGCAGTATTTCATTTTATTTAAATATTTTAGTATAGTATTTTTATTGTCTTTTTATAATTATAGACTAACAGATTTTAAATTCGTTCTGCTTGATTTTTGAAATTCTTTTTTTCAGGTAAATATATGCAGATGATGAACATTCTTAAGCCAATTGCCTTTGATGTCATCCATTTCATGTCTCAGCTGTTTGATTATTACCTGTATGCAATATATACCTTTTTTGGTCGGAATGATTCAGTAAGTCAACCTGTGGAGGGAAAATCTGTTTCTTTTAAAATTCATTATTTTTTTAAAATGTGAAGTAGTTTTTCATTTTCTCTGTATAAGATACACAAATAACATTTTCAGAATTATCCATCCAATTATTGATATCTGCTTTCTGTCTGCTTAATTGCCTTACTTATATGTAAATTTTGAGGTTTGATATGATAAACATATTGTATGTTCACATTTTTGGCAGAAAAAAATGAAACATCTGTTTCTAACCTTGACATATTTTGGCAATGAAAAATGTGCAGATTTCTTTACTTAAATATGGCCTTGTGTATAATGACTACACAGTAAATGAGACATTTTAAATATTGGCTAACAACCTTAGTAGTCACTATTACATTCAGAAGATGACAAATATTTATTAAAATAACTGAAAATCTTTGAATGGAACTATCTGCTTGCCACAGAATTAATGTTTCCTGTGTCTCCTTTTTGCATTTCCAAAGCTCTTATTTAGTTTATCTTTTTCTACTTTTAGTCAGGTAACTTATCTGATATTTGGAAATTATTATGTAGTTTGCCTGGATGCTTGGCAGTTTTCCGTGTAAAAGCACACTGCTGGGTCCTATGATATATCATACTAACTTTTCTTACACTATATTTTATACCTTCTCAAAAAGTGTAAATTTTAATGTATAACTATATTCATTAAATGAATACTCATATCCTTGCTGTGATCACAAGTATATCAAAGACATGATCTTATAGGATCTGAATTTCCTATGTTCTTAATTCTGAAAAATACTTCATAGGAAGAATGCTAATATAATGAGATACAACATGTTGCTACAGAATTTACATTACTATAAGATATGTACTAATTCATTGCTGTGAATGTAGCAGCTCACTAAATAAATATTAATGGAGAAAGACATTCTAGAGGTTTAGCTAATTGGAATCTTTCAGTCTTCCAGATCAGTCTTACTCTGGCTTCTGGGCCATACCTCTAGACTAGTGCTATCCAAGAGATTTTGAAATAATGGAAATGTTCTATATCTGCACTGCCCAGTATGGTAGTCACAAGCCACATGTGGCTTTTCAGCACTTGAAGTGCGACTAATGTGACTTAGAAACTGAATTCTTAATTGTGTCTAATTTTAATTAAATTATTTTAAAATGTGAATATATAAATACATGTAAATATAAGTGTGACTAGTAACTATCATTCTGGACCACATTACTGATAAGATGTGTTAAAATAGAGTCCTTCTGAAACTCTAGGAACTAAATAGTTTGGGGCATGACTTTCCAGTTGATTATAGACTGGCACAGATTTGTTTACAGTGGGCTCACTAAAACCTGAGAAAGTTAGCAAAATATAGTTAGGTGCTTATTGTAAAATATGTTGCATATTTTATTTAAGATCTGTTATGTTTTAAAGACATATTGATGTGATATTTTATATTAAAATCATTTTTAATTCTGTACGACTCAGTAAGAGCTATTTAATTATATTAAAACAATTAGCCTGTTAGTTGTAAGAGTTTTTATCTTTAACCTTTATGTTGAGGTTACCCATATGTTGTAGGTGTCTGCCCATATGTTGTATTAGAAATAATTTTTATCATATGAACCAATATAAAATGTGCATATGAGTACGTATGAGTAAATATAGCATTTCCTTTTCCTCTTACTTGCACTTTTTATGATAAACTTTTTCTATTATTAGATTATATTTAGTAATACTAGGTTTTAGCTACAATATGAATATTGAAAATATACACATTTTTAAATAGAATAACTTATAATTCAGACCCTACTATTTTTGATTCTGCAAAACTGAAGAAACAAAGCAAAAGACTTTACTCTCTATGAAAGGGTTTTCTGTACATATTTGTACAAATAAATACTCCATCTTTTTTACGCTTATTTTTTTTTCTGCTCTATTTTTATATACATTTAAAGTTTTTGTTTTGTTTTGTTACCTTGCAAGGTTATATTCTTTTTAATTAGTTACTTTATATCCGTATTGGAACAAGACACTGCATAAATAGCTCAAATAAGTATATGCATATAAGAATGAAGAAGTAGGTTTTAATTGCCTAAGAGAATAAGCTTTTCAAGCCTATTAGAAATCTTAAAAGTTCCCATATTTATAAAAATAAATAAATACTCTCAATTGCCCTGTTAGCTGTTGAGTCTTAGGTGGTAGGAGGGGAGGGGGAATCAGATAATGGGTACACTGGGAAGAACAGGGTATGTGGTTGCACCTGCTTTTCTCTCAGAAGAAGGGGACTTGTGCGAGTGAATTTAGATGGGTACTTCTTATGGAAGAATAAGCATCTTTTTCCCAGGGGTTCTGGCTTCTAGAAAGTCTTTGACTGGAGGGCACAGTGTATACATTAGTTCAAAGGATTCCTTTTGTTGATACTGATTTCTTCAGAAGCCCCTGTTCTTCACTAAACTGATTATAACCTACTACATCATGCTCTATTCTATGTCTAACATTGGATTCTATTATTATAATGTTACTCATAGTATTACTTTATCTTGCCTTGCTCCCAACATTCCATTGTTTACCTCGAGTTATGTTTTCCTTAGTCTTTTTGTTCACATTCTCTTGTGAAGACCATTCTGTGGCTTACCGTAACATAGTAGTAAGCACATAGTAAATACTGAAGGCACGTGGATCGATGTTCAGATTATTTGTTATCTGAATAGATCTTATGAGGGTTTATACTTGACAACAGTTTGTAAGCCTCACTTAAGGTTCCTTTTCATTAATAAAACTGTATCTTTGTAGAGAGTTTGTGATTTGCTGTCTAAACTTTTTTCTTTTTGGTGGCTGGCCGGTATAGGTATTGAGTCCTGGACCTTGGTGTTATCAGCACCATACTCTAAACAATTGAGCTAACTGGCCAGCCCCTGATAACTAAACTTTTAAGAAATGAATTAACTTCCACTTCTAGGTATGACAGACTAAGACCTTACTGGATGGCACTTCCTGCAGAATGCAACTATAAAACCTGAATGTTATACCAAGGCAACTATTTGGAGATACTGGAGAGTAAACAGAAGAAGCAGATAGCCTTTGGTAGGGAGTTCATGCTAGTCTGCAGGTGGGGGCAAAAGGAACTATAAAAATAAATCCCATTCCCATGGCTTTTTAGCCCAGGGCTAAGTGCAGTCCACACAGCACACAATTAGAGGCAAATACTAGAAAACTTGCTGTTCTTATGGACTGGGGAACCAGAAAAGTGGAGTTAGGAAACCGGTGACTCTGAAAAGAGTGAAGGAAGCTCAGAAGGGAAAGAGCCAGAGAGGGGATCCTCAAATTCAGTCTACCCATATCTCTGACTAACCCAGGAGTCACGTTTATGTGGAACAGACTAACTACAGCTCAGTCAAAGAAAGAAGATTTGACCAGAAACCAAAGCTGCTGCACAAGAGAGTTTATAGTTCAAGCCCAGCCAAGAAAATTACATACTGAAAACAAAGGAAACTATCTGTGGGAGAAAGGTAACAGAGTCCAGAATCTCCAGAATCAAACTGATGGTGCAATCCAATTTTACTCAACATACATAGAACCAAAAAAGTAGAATGCATCCTTAAGTAAAAAGAAAATCAACCTAATCTGACTCCAAGATACTGGAACTTAGGGATAAGGATTTTAAATGGGTTATTATAACTATCTTCAGTGAAGTAAAACAAAACATGTTTTAAATGCATGGACATCTCAATAGAGAAATAGGAAATTCTAGTAGCAACAGTAATAAATAAAGGGAAATCTTAGAATTGAAAAGTACAATTTCAGAAAATGAAAAAAATTACTGAATGTATTTAGTAGCCAAATGGACATGACAGAGAAAAGAATATGTGAACTTGTAGAAATTATTGAAAGTGAACGAGTATAGAGAACAAAGATTAGAAAACAAAAATGATCAGAGTCTTATGGACATGTTAGTTTATAGCACATGGTCAAACTTACATCTATGAGAAATTGGTTAGTGGACACAAAGAATGATTATGTATTGCAGTGATGAATATGCTAATTATCCTGATTTGATCATCACATTGTACACAAGTATTGATAGTCAATTCTATACCCCACAAATATGTATTATCAATTATGCTTCAATAAAAAATATAAATGTAAAAATCATACATGTAGTTGGAATACTAATTGGAAAAGAAGAGAGAGAGAGAATGGGGCAGAAAAACATATTTGAAGAAATATTGGCCAATAATTTGCAGATACAGGATGCTAAACAAACAGCAAGCAGAATAAGCACAAATAAGATACAAGATGCTAAACAAACAGCAACAGAATAAGCACAGAATTTGCAGATACAGGATGCTAAATAAACAGCAAGCAGAAGAAGCAAGCAGAATAAGCTGGGTACATCATAGTGAAACTGTTCCTTGAAAACCACAATAGACTTAATATCTAAAAGGAAGCAATGATCTCATTAACAACTGACTTCTCATAAGAAACTGGAGGCTAGAGGAGATTTAAGCAATGCCTTTAAGGTACTGAAAGAAAAGGAAAAAAACTGTCTATCCAGAAAGAACACCATTCAAGAATGGAAGTGAAATTAACACAGATTTAGATAAACAGAAAAACTAAGAGAATTTGTTACAACAGACATACAATATAAGAAATTCTAAAGGAAGTTGTTTAGACTGAAGGGAAACAATACCAGATGAAAACATGAATCCTTAGAAAAGAATGCAAAGAATTGGTAATAGAATCTTCTTGGGGAAATGCAAAAGATATTTTTATTTTATTCTTAATTTCTTTATAAACCATATAGCTGTTTAAAACTGAAATCATAAAATTGTTTTTTGGAGTTTGTAATATATGTAGATGTATTACGTATAACAAATATAACAAGGTAGGTGTGAGTATATGGACCTATATGGTTGCAATATTTCTGTATATTATGTAAAAGCAGTACATGGACTGTGAAAAACCAAAGATAGATATTGTAATCCATAGGACAACCATGAAAAAAATGCAGAGAACTTTAACTCTTTAGCCAACAGGAAAATTAAAGTAGAATTCTGAAAATATAATTGCAAAAGGCAGGAAAGGAAGAACAAAGGAACAAAAAAAGAGATAACAGAAAATGGTAGATGCAAATCCAACCAATCATTATCTTAAATGTTAATGGACCAACACTCAAATTAACAGGCAGAGATTGTTAGAATCAAACCCACACCTAAAAACAAAATACACACTTTAATATTAAAAACCCATAGGTGGAAAGCAAATGAATGGAAAAAAAAAATAGGCCATGTAAATGTTAAACACAAGAAGGCTGCAGTGGCTATATTGATATCAGAGATAAAATAGATTTGAAAATAAAGCCTATTACCAAAGATAGAGGGACACTTCATAATGATACAATGGTCAATTCAATGAAAACATAATGATCATAAATATGTATGTACTTAATAACAGAGCTTCAAAATAGATGAAACAGTAATTGACAGAATTAAAGGTAAAAAGAGAAAATGCAATCAGCTGGAGATTTTAACACCAGACAATAACTGCTGGAACAAGTAGACAAAAAATCAGCAAATATGCAGAAGATTTGAACAACACTATCAACCATGTTGACTTAATTGATATATATGGAACAACATACCCAAAAGTGGTAGGGTATATATTCTTTTCAAATGGTCATGGCACATTTATCCATATTGTGGGCCATTAAACATGTCCTAATAAATTCAAAAGATTGTAATAATGTGGAGTATATTATCTGATGGCAATGTAATTAAATTAGATATCAATAACTAAGATAGAGAACCCCTCATATTTGGAAATTAAACAACATACTTCTAAATAATGACTGAGTCAAAGAAGAAATCGCAAGAGAAATTAGAAAATAACTTTGAATTGAACGATATGAAAACAAAAGATACCAAAAAGAGAAAATAAAATGTATTATAAAATTAGTATATAAAACTAGTTCATGTTTTAGTACACAATGTCATCATAGCTATTTTAGCTTGATGCTTTCTGACATATGTTGTATAAATCATTTCTCATTCTTGTATCAGATGGGAGAGGAAGAGGAACAATAAATGTGTGTGCATGCTTGTGTGTGTGTGTGTGTGTGTATACACATACACATATAGTCATATGAACATAATTTCTGTGAATATATTAATGGGACTACATGTTTTGTAGTTTAATATTAATAATATTTTAAATTTATTGGTTCATACAGAACATTTTAACATTTTTCCTAATGCCTATGTACGTATTATTACCTCTAAATTAAATTTATTTTCATCAATTGAATCATCACACAAGAAACTAGCTGACTAACTGGCTTTTCATGTCTTAACAGTCAATTCACCCTTGCCATTTATGCTCTTGTGTGAAGGTTTTTATAAATGCTTTGGTTTTGTTGTAGTGAACAGATTATACTGTGAAATGTTTACTAAGCCTAATAGAAAATTTAACTGATTTTTGAATGAAGATTTAGGCTGTCTCTAACTTGTGAAGGAAAACTGAATAGCAACACTATATATAACTGTGCTTCTACATAAACATGACATGTATACCTTAAATACAACAGAGTATACTATTTTTAAGTATCTAAAATCTCAGGTTTTATAACTAAAAATAATAAGTTGTAGGGAATTATCTCCTGATAATTCACAAAACTGATAGATGTTATTGTAACCTGTAAATGCACACAGATAAATGGTTCTGTTGTTCCCTTAAGAGCTAATGTTTGAGTTCTTTGCTCAATGTGTTAGAATTTTTTAACACAATTTGGAAATCCTCTGAAGGCTAAGTATCTGAGTTAAAACTCATTAAATAATTTGGTTAATTTGAAGATGTAATATTTGGAAGGTTATCTCCAGAGCTATGTATAACGTGCCTTTTTTCTTTTTCAGTTGGAATCAACAGGACTTGGCCTTAGTAGTAGTAGACTAAGAACAACTCTAAACAGAATACAAGAAAGCCTTATTGACCTGGTAAGTAATGAATTGGAACCAATTCCTTTGGGTTATGTAAAGTAGAAATTAGCCATTAAATCAGCTGCATATAAATGTGTGTCTATATGTATATTGAATGCCTGAGTCCTTAGTATTATATTAAGTGCATGTATGAAATAAAATGGAGGTTGCTTATAGTTTGATCAGAGACAAGAAACTAGTATACTTGAAAGAATATGATATTGGCTATACATCCAGCACAAGTTCAAAGAGAAGAAAGGTTTATGTAAAAAATTGATGTCAGAGAGTGACTAAAGAGGAAGTGAGACTTGTGCTAGATTTTGAAGAATAGGCATGGGGTTAGTGGGAAAGAGAAGAAAGAAAACTATTCATATTAAGGTACAGAGGCTGAGCAAGGGCCCTGTGGTAAGAGCAGGTCTGCCTCAAGATTAGGCACATCTTTGTGATTGGGGCTCCAGTATATGCTAAAGAGTTATGTTGCAGAGAGTGTTTGGGACCACTTTATAAATATCCTTGAGATTCAAGGAGAGTTTGGGTTTAGTTTGCTATGTAGTAGGGGATCACGGTCCTTGCATTAAGGTTCGTAGCAATACAGGACTGGCCCTCTGTAGTGTTTAAGCTAACATAAGCATTTAAAATGAGAAAAAGTTTTTCTTGTGGTTGGTCACTATAGCCAGAAATTTATGTTGTTCAGAACATTTCTCTTCATCTACATTAATGTCAGGCTTCTCTGAATTTTTCTTTATTCCTTCAACCTACCCCAAGCAAGCAATCATTTTCATCTTCTTTCTTAAGCTCTATATTATGTACATACTTGTGTTATTGAAGTTTTTATAAAGCAATGTAATCATTCATTCTTTTAAGAAATAATGAAATAATTGTTACATGCCAGACATTGTTACAGCTGAGAATTCATCAATGCATGGAAGAGATAATTACTGTCTTCTTGGAACTTGTATCTTATTGGAGCAGAAAGACAAGTAAACAAATATGTAGTGCAGAGTCAGATACTGATAAATGGTAAGAAGAAAATGAAGCAAATAGTGATAGGACAGTGATCTTTGAGCAGAGATGGCAATAAAGTGAGAGAGGCATGTGCTGATATCTTGGGTGAGCCATGTTTGGGTGTTCATCTCCCATATCATTTGTAAATTTTTTTTTTCCCAGCACATCATTTAAAAAAAAATATATATATATTCATAGCACTTACCGTGGCACATAGCATTTCTTCAATAAATGTTCATATAGTGGAAGAATAAACTCCAATTCCTGGGTTTCATGTTTTATGTCTCACCCTGGCTTGTTTTCATGGCTTTGATATCCATTTTCATAGTCAAAGTTCCTTGTTTGACCCAGCCTTTTTTTTTTTTTTTTTAAGTCTTTGTTTTGTAAAATCCAATGACTCTCGACACCATTGGCAGTTTTCTGTGTTTTCATTTTGATTCTCCTTGTTTGATGCTTAGTATAGCCTGTACTATCAGATCTTGTTCTCCAGATCTAAGCCCACACCTGAAGTTTTTCTTGTTTTTGTCTGAAAGCCTCAAGATTGATGGACCAAAATTCACCACTAGAGTCATTCACCTGGCATTTCTCTGTCATCTCCGCTACTTACTAGCTTAAGATTGTAAAACCACAGTTCCAGATTTGACCCTTAGGGTGTGGATTTATGCTTCAGGTTTTGCCACATGATGCATAATGAAATAGCATGACCAGCTAAACAGTGGGACCAAAGTAGCTATTCTTTGAGACAGAGTGCCACTCATCTACTTGGTAACAATGTATCTATGTCATCTGTCTGACTTCTGTTATCATTAGATAAGTTTTTTTCCTGAACTGGTATAGTTGTCAAATTTGGAGATATATTTTCAAAAAACCAACTCCACTTTCCCTCCGCCAATAAATAAATAGATAGATCCGTCTGTTTCTTTTTCTATGGCACCTTATCTTTTACAGATATCTTTTCTTTAAATACTTATCCTTCCATTTCTGAAATCAAAAGACTGCATATTGGATGAGAAGACCATGTAAGCAGTCATTCCTCCTTCACTATGTAAGGAGCACTGCCCATTGACAAGGTTGCTGTAGTGTCCTTATTCTTCTGGAGGATAACACTCCATGCAATACAGTAGAAGTTTTCCTGAATTTTTCCATTAGTTTTCCATGTTTTTTATGTGTTGAACTATTACTCATACTGATGAGCATTGTTTTATTATGTTAGAAAATGTATTTGTCATTTATTAGACCTTGATCTTAGGGTTTTTTTTTTTTTTTTACGCTGGTATATTAATTTTCTTCACTTCATTAATTTGCCTCTACATTGGCAGAGAACATTAATTGATTTCTTGCTATTCAATATATTCTTTGGCTATTAAAATAATTTATAGCCTAATAAATCTGGAAACAACTATGTGGAAGTAATATTTTTCCTTATATTGCTTTTCCAAGTCAGTTAAAATCTTCACAAACACTTCTTTTTGGTAATTTTATTTTCTCCATATATATTCTATAATTTTTAAGCTGTAAAAGGCAAAATGGGGGCCGGCCCCGTGGCGCACTCGGGAGAGTGCGGCGCAGGGAGCGCAGTGATGCTCCCGCCGTGGGTTCAGATCCTATATAGGAATGGCTGGTGCGCTCACTGGCTGAGCATGTTGTGGGCGACACCACACCAAGGGTTGCGATCCCCTTACCGGTCACGAAAAAGACAAAAGAAAAAAAAAAAAAAAAGGCAAAATGGAATCATTGTGGTCTTAAAAATGCCACCTGAAATAATTTATCATATAAATTTAGTGTGAACTGAGAAAATTTGTTTGACACATCAAAAAAAGTCTAATAAAAGAGCTGTAAAAGAGGAAAAGTAGGAAAAGAAACTGGTATAGATGATAATGGGACCAGAAATTTGAATTTTTAGTTATCCATTTGATGATGCTAACTAAATTGTTTGCTTTAAGACCTTTGGTCAACTTTCTCTCTTTGATAATAAAAATGTAATGAATTTGAACAGGAAAGTATGAATTGTCTTTGTAGTCGTAAATTAGTAGCAGGAAAGGCTAAAACTGTGAATTTCACTGTGAGAATAAAGATCGATTAACGTTGCATTTTTAAAAGTCTTTAATGGGTTATATCCTTTAATTATTATACTGGCGTAAACTGTAACACTGACCCAGTTTAGTAGCATTTCCATTTAAGTGCACAATAAGTACATACCATTTATTTAAGTCAGCTTGACATTTTTGTGGCTCTCTTGCTGTCTTCAAGCATATTTCCCTAAGTGTAAACACAGAACTTTTAGCCTTTAAGCAGATGATTACCATAATTTTTATGCCTAAAATTCCAGTGTTAACCGGGAGCAAAGGAAGGCATCCTCATGAAAACCTTTTGGGGGGGGGGGAGGGGCACAGTTTCAGTGATCTCTGAAAGAATGTTTTTTTGTGAGAGAACTCTGTAAAGGGGAACTCAACTCATTTGTGTTGGAGGTACGAGGGAGGTAGGAAAATGCTTTGGTCCCTCCCGTTATTCCAGAGATAGACTGCACTTCTCTCAGGCCATGTCTTTTCTCTCTTTGCATTTCATCCCCTCCTAGCACCACCTCCCTGTTCTAGCCCAGATTAACTAATTAGTAGCTAAAGTCAAAGAAACTTTTAGTTTTATAAATATGTTGTATATATGGTGATATTATAAAAGAAGGAAATTTGAAAGTAACTGTTATTGTAAGTTTGTGATATTTGTGGTGACCCTTGAGATATTTTGAGTCTGAGATTGTACAATATTGTCAGGAAGTTCATTTCAGATTTAATTATAAACTATCTTTAAAGCAGGAGTGTTTGAGGGCCGGCCCGTGGCTCACTCGGGAGAGTGCGGTGCTGATAACACCAAGACCCTGGGTTCGGATCCCACATAGGGATGGCCGGTTGCTCACTGGGTGAGCGTGGTGTTGACAACACCAAGTCAAGGGTTAAGATCCCCTTACTGGTCATCTTTTAAAAAAAAAAAAAAGCAGGAGTGTTTGAGGGCCGGCCCGTGGCTCACTCGGGAGAGTGCGGTGCTGATAACACCAAGACCCTGGGTTCGGATCCCACATAGGGATGGCCGGTTGCTCACTGGGTGAGCGTGGTGTTGACAACACCAAGTCAAGGGTTAAGATCCCCTTACTGGTCATCTTTTAAAAAAAAAAAAAAGCAGGAGTGTTTGATGCTTAGGTATTGTTATACTATTAGAGTATAATACTCCAGATTTCTAATCATAAAACCATAGAAGGAAGCTTATCTGTGCTCATTTAACCTGTACAGTATTTATACATAACTAGTAACTACTAGGTATGCTTCGCTTGAACTTCTCCAGCATTAGGGAACTTATAACCACCCAAAGCAGCCCTTCCTGCCTTACAGTCTGCCTGATAGAATGTGCTTTGTTAGGATGTAGCAAAATCTGCCTCTCTGGAACTGTTTTCTGGTATTGCTATTTCTATCCTATTGGGGCCACTTAGGTTAGTTTAGCCATTTTTCCCAAGTGAGCCATCTCTTCCCCCAATTCCTTTATTAGTTGTTAATGCTTCAAAATTTCAGGTATCCTCATCATTCTTTGACTTGTTATGAGATAGATATTTACAACTCTGAACTAAGAAGAAAATACAGAGTGCTATAAAAGGTGTTGGAAGTAGACAGAAGGCAGGAGCTATGTGATGAGGGTGCAGGACAGGGGATACAAGATAGTTGGGTGGTCTTTATTATTAATTTGTTCAACAAATACATGTTACATGCCTAGGCACCTCTGATGGTAACTCTAGTGGGAGGAGGCAGATAAGGAATAAATGAATATCTAATTTAGTGTCAGATTGTGTTGAGAGCTGTGAAGAACTAGGTAAGAGGGATAGAAAGAAGAAAGAAAATGTGTTAGTCCTTCTCTGTTGTTTATAACAAAATACTTGAAACTGGGTAATTTATAAAGAAATAAAATTTATTCCTTACAGTTTCAGACGCTGGGAAGTCCAGAGTCCAGGGAACACATCTGATGAAGGCCTA